CGTTCAGTTGTAAAAAATAATAATAATAATTCTCTAAAAGAAAGAAACAGCTGAGCGAGTGAATTGAAAACAGGCTCATTTGACTGCTCAACCCAAAAGAGGTAAACGACTTCATCAGTTGTCCCTTGCTGTAATACTGCTTAGCAGACTAGTCCAAAGCTCTGTGGCTTTAAACCGCACCCTCATTGCTCACAAGGCGAGTGGATCTGCTGATCTTGGTGGGATGCGGCCCTCTGTCTGCTCAGTTGAGACAGCCATTCATGCTCAGCTGGGCTCACTTGATGCTGAGGGCTGGCCTTGGCAGGGGGGTGTGTGGGGGTGTCCTCCTCTGTCCTGTTTGCACACTAGTCACCTGGGGCTACTTGCCATCCTGGGAACGTGCCGGGCATTTGCTGTCTTTTTATATGGTTTCCTTTTCCCATTTTCCCCTTGGCACTCGGTGAGCTCACATTCATGCTTCAAAGCCTACTTCAGCTGTCCCTTCTCTTTGTATTTTTTCCTAAGCCTTTTAGGTAAAGTAAGTTGGTCCCTTTTATAGTGTCAGGGTAGATTTAAAAGTGTACCTGCAAACTTAGAGGAAACTTTAATACCAAAATGGGAAGCTGTTGGTTCGACACAGCCTCCATTTGGTGTGTGCACTTGAGGAGGCACCGCCTCCGGCTCCAGCCCTTCCTAGAGAATTCTGCGCGCTTCCTTTTCCCACCGCACCAGAGCAGCCGGCGCGGCATCCCCGAGGGGCCGACACTATTTCTTTTCAATGTCTCTGAGTTTGAGGACCCCAAAGGGAGTCCGAAGAGGCCAATTCAGGACTGTAGTGTGGATGGGGGAAGGTCTCCCAGTGGGATTCTTGTAGGGCAGCTCTTGAGACCTTTGAAGGTTTAGCAGGTGCGTGGTTGTGGTGGGGGACATGCCTTGGTGAAACTTTCCTGGCCTTTTCCTTACCATTGCAGTTTTCGTTTGGACGAAGACTTTTTGCTAATGAGCCTCTGTGATTATCCTGTGTCCTTCGAGAAAATCTATCAAGGTTCTCCTTAGGATCCTCTCCCCACTCCCCCAAAAGAAAAAAAACAGACGTTTGCTATATAACCTTCTGAGCTGACCTCTTCCTTGAATTTAAGAGGCCTAGCAGATCCCCTAAGGAGCCCTGGTGATATAGCGGTTACTCGTTGGGCAGCTAACTGCGAGGTCAGGAGTTCAAAACCACCAGCTGCTCTGCAGGAGAAAAACAGGGCTTTCTACTCCTATAAAGAGTCATATCCTGTCCTATAGGGTCACTATGAGTTGGCATCAGCCCGATGGCAGTGAGTTTGTTTTTGTAACTGATCCCCTGGAAGGCACTGTTTTGCTTGGACCAGTATTTTGAAGGCATCTTAATGAGCCGGAGAGGGAGCACCAGGGCTTTCTGTGAAGACTGGGTCTCGGGAACCCTCAGGGGCAGCTAGCTCTCTGTCCTATACTAGGGTCGCTGTGAGCTGGAACTGACTGGATGCAGTGAGTTTGGTTCCGGCCATGAGCCCGAGACGCGTGTGTCACTAGAGAGAACTTGTCGGCCGCCATCCACTGATGCAGAGACGTGTTTAATAAGCTCATTTCATGTGGAATCCATCTGTGTATGTGTATGAATTAGACCTGTAGTGGCATTACTTTCTGACTTGGTCTCACAGTTGACGGAGTCCTATATCATCTGGGTTAGAATCCGTTGTTTCTGTTCTGTGTACTAGACTGCGTATTTCAAGGAGAAGGGATTCGCCTGTATCTCTAGTACTTGGCACATAGAAGACTTTTAGTACAAGCTGCTCAATCAATGGTGGCTTGTTGTTAAATGACCAGAGAAGAAGGTCGTGACACTAGGAACAAATTCTGGAGGAGGTAGGAAGTGGACTTGCTTTCTTAAGTTTGTTTTCTGGCTGGAACATCATCTGTTCCGATCCTTTAGCCCAGGGGGGCTTAAACTTTTTAAAAGGGGGCGAGTTCACTGTCCCTCAGACCTGTTGGAGGGCCGGACTATAGTTTAAAAAAAACTATGAACAAATTCCTATGCACACTGCACATATCTTATTTTGAAGTGACAAAACAAACGGGGCAAAAGCACCCGGCAGACCGGATAAATG